TCCAATGTCCTAAAAACTCATTTCGACATTGATGTGGAAACTGGGTAGTTTTCCATTTCTGTCCTAGATTTCCCCTAAATTTCTTCAGTTAATCGGCCCAATTAACTACTATGTCAACCGTCAATAATCATCACTCTCTGGTTAATCAGCGAACTAGACGGTGAACAGCAGGCTTGATTGCCCCGCGCTCGCTAACCACGACGAGTTAGTAAATTGAGAATTTAATTAAGATTTTCTTCAGTTATCCTAACGAAGTGTTTGTTACTTCAGACCTCTTGGATCTGTTTAAAATCTGATATGGAATATCAGAAAAAAGACTTATTAACAATGAACATAAACATAACGGAATATTAGAATAAATCTCTTCTTATCGAGGCGTTTTGTCCAAGACCACAGACTCGTCAAGACGACTCGCGTATCTAGCATCACGTCGAAAAATAAACCCAATAATACATTTATTTCTAACGTGTTGATACTTACCGTTGCTATTCAGCGCGAGTGTTCAACACTATTCTCTCCTCCTCGAGTTACATATCTAGTCATAAATATATGTATATCTATGAACTTACATGCTTATGGACTTAAAGTTATATTATTATCCTACAAATACTAGTGGTTTAAGTGATAAAGAAAAATAAAACTCCAAGTGTTGTGGAAGCTCTTGGTGGTATCAGAAAACTCTCAGACCTTATTCTGAAGGACGCTCATCTAACCGCCATCGAACCTCGCCAATTACCGAGCCTGAGTCAGTCTTCTTTCTGATTTTCTTTTCGTTTATTAAGGATAAGGTAAGTTTATTATATTCAATTAACTTTCTACTTTCAATCTGAAAATCATCACATTGCAAGAGAAGGGAAAAGCGCAGGCCCTTCTAACGTCCCCTTTAGAAATGAATTTAAAAGAAAAGGGAAGAGAAGTACTTTACTCTCCCTTTTTAAAAATACCTGTTCTTGTCCGACGCCTCCAATCCTTCTCATGTTCCTCTTTGAATCATTATATAAGCCGAATATCGTAGTTATGCTTAACATCATAGCCTTCTGTTGACAACATCGTATAAACAGTTTCTACGAATCAAAGCTGTAATCATCTCCTAAAACATTCATTTTTTTTCTATTATTGTCAAACGTAAACACTACCATGAATCATAACGATCAGAAGAAACTTGTAGAGTAAGTTTAATGTCATTTTTACAATTTCAAATGAATTTGATAGTGATTAAGTGGTCGTAAACATCTTTTTTTTATTATGAATATTATTATATTATTATTATATTAATTTTTTAGATAGAAAATTATTATGAATAACAATATCAATGATGCTATTAATGGCGTACGATCACTAGATATAGTTGTAGACATTCCAGGAAGAATGCACAAAAAAAAGACCCTCCTCCATTCTGTTGCCGAACTCAATTAACACGTTGGATCAAGGGGACATCATCAAGAAGATCCGGTAGTTCATTCAAAATATTCCAGTTGACATTCCCGTTAAGCGCGTTGGGCAAAAAAATGAGGCCAATCTAGATTTACGAAAAAAAAGTAATTAAAAACGAAGATGACGGATGTGTTATTGTGTTTCAAGGAGAAATAATGAGTCAAAAATTAAAAGAAAACTAAGTCTTTTTAAAATACGATGTTATGAATGACAAAATATGACATAATAACCGCCGAAGAAATTCATTATCATCCTGCACTTGATCTCTCAACCACTCACAATAAGCCATCCTTCTTAGTGGATCACCGTCTTCTAGGCAATTCACACGGGTATAGTGGCAAGGCTGGAGACCATCTTGCCGTAAAATTTCACTTATTGTCCAATGGCTGATGTTCAACACCCGATGTGCTTCTCTGGTACTAAATGTGGGATGACGATTAGAAGATCCAAAAGTTCGTCTCTCTCTTTGATAATTACGAGAGCATCCCGCATTGAAACGAAAATTTGACACAATCGGTTCGTTATTTTGAATCCGTTCTTACAAAATACTCCGTTGATCGTAGACTGGCATATCGGTGAAAATCAAACCAAACAAATGTGCGAAGAGTATTACAGATGTTGATAAAATAACAAGAAAAAATCAGAGAAACTATTATGCAGCAAACTATAACAAATACAATCAATAATATTCCATTTATAAATGTAACAACATTCAGGTAAAATACATATAAATGAATAAGTCAACTGGATGATTATATACATAATTCAGATGAGTATTCAATAGTAACTTACTGTTCATACATATATAATACACATATACATCTGATTATGAAAAAATATGTGAGAGAGAAAATGAGAGAATGAACGAGAGAGAGTATGAGAAAATAGATGCAAGAAAACATCAGAGAGAGTAGAAGAGGATACTTTAATCTTCTCTCTTTTAAATCAGCCTCAATGAAGTTAAGAATAAACCGTCTCCCCACTCTTCGATTTTGATAACGGCTGTGTTCATTTGTATTCGATCAAGTTAATTTATTCAAATAAATGATTGGAGGGATATCATTGCTATCATTCTTAGCGCACACGGTTTTTCTCGCTGACTCGTGACTTACTCCTGATTTTCTTAATGTTAAGTTTTTGAACTTTATATATCTTCCGAAGTATTTATTTGGCAAACTTTTTGCAGGGGGATTTTTGTTTTCATTTTCGCACTAGATTACGATTGTGTCCAAATTTACGTCAATTTTTTGCACACCGTGTATGTTATAAAACTGTAATATATAGTCGACGTAATAAATTTATATTGCAGATGTTATACTCATATGACGCTGTAGGCATATAATGTTATGTTACATATTCTTACTAATTTTAGGTAACATTTGCTACATAGGTGAAATATTTTTGTAACATAAAATCACTGCATCAATGTCACACTGAGAAAAAAATTTCGTTAAATAAAAGAATATTTTACATAATTTATAAAAGAAACTTGGAGTACTCTTAAGATAATATTTTAATCATTGCTACTATTTAAAATTTAATGTCAGTGATCGGATGAGATTTTTTTCATTTGGAGTAAATTTTTTTCTTAGTGTCCCTATATTTTTTCAATCTGGCGAAATATTCCAGCAATATAACATTGTCACATCAGTGTTACATACATTTTTTTTTACTGACGGCATATTCTACAGATGTAACATTTCAAAATTCTGGTTATAGTTGCTATTGTTTTCAATGTATGGATAAACTAAGAATAATAGCAAGTCAGGGTAATTGTTGCGAAGCTATTGTGATATTTTACACTTCAAGAAATAATTTCGAACCTGAATTGTTAGAGAATTCTGCATTCTCTGTATTTTTAGCTATGTGTATAAAATAATCACAGAATGAGGATTTTTTACCAATTTATTTAACCTATGACATTTACAAAATGTTCTAGAATCTCAAAAATAACTGAATCTCAATTAAGAATAAAGAGAAGACATTGTAGACAATAATTATTATATATTAACTGAGCTTAATAATAAATAACACAATTATTCTCGTTTTTCTTTATATTCATACATGTAACGAAAATATATGTTTTTATAGGCCTATTTGTAATTTGGGATTTAATCATAAGAATAGCTGAGTAGGCTACAATGTAAATTTGGGTTGCGTATGAGTTGGCGGTCGTAGGTTCGAATTCCCCTCTAAAAAAGAGAAATTTATTTCACTAAGAACATCAAATTACACTTGAAGAATGTAGAGTAGTAAACAAAATCAATGAAATCGTATAAAGACACATTGCTTACAATTTTTTTTCAATTTAAACAATACCAATGTTGATAAGAATATTATGTTACCATACTATTACTATTAATGTAACGAAGTTATAAAACAATGTTATATAACTAAGGCAGAAATAGAAACATCTATTTTCCATAGTACAAAACTATAATAAAACGTGTAAAAAAAGTTATGTGAAGGATATATAACAACAATATAACAGTGGTTACTGGGCTATTATTCGTGACTGTCAATATGATTTTTATTATTAATAATTTAACGCAAGAAAATCATTTCTTTTATGCCCCTCCAATAATTCCTTCGTTCGAATAATTCAAATATTTTGATTTAATGAATTATCTACATTGTTAATTAAAAATTTTAATGGAAATCTGCATTTGTGTCTATAATATTTTTTTTTTTTAATTATTTTCTTTCTGTGTAGCTTTTTCGTTGTTCTGCAATCTTTTTTGCCATTTGGATTGAATGGAGCTAGTCAGTTTTCCTTAGATTTTTTTCTTTTTTGACCTCAAAAAACGACGGGCACCCACAGCTGAGGTTGATGATTTTAGTTAGTTTTTGTTGGGTAAAGTAGCACCTATACGGTCAGGAAGTAAAGCCACTCATTCTGATAGCGGTAGTGTTGCATACTCTAATTTCATTTATATAGGTATATCGAATCGTTTCCGTCCATAATTGCGAATTTTAGAGCACAAGAGAAAAAGCAATGTTTAAACGGTTCATGAAAGAGAGAAAAAATAATATCTTTAGGGAACTGAACATAAAAGAAAGTGATAAACAACACATATAGTAAGAGAGAACACATGATGAAGCACTCTATTGAAAAGAGTAAAATAGCAAGTAGAGAATCTTGAATAGCAAAAATATCGCTGGTAGGGGCGTAGCCAATCTGTAACTTCGTTTTTAATGACCGAAAAATGCTCGTTCTGCATTCATTTAAAAGTTTACTATTTGGAGTAACTGTATATCGAATAGATGAGCATAATATGAAGTTATTACGAAGGTATTTGCACACCTCTGTAATAACTTCATATAGTAGTCGGTAGCCTTGGCACACATGAAAGAAAAAGCGTGCTAGTTTAAACAGAATAGACGAAAAAGTATGCTTGGCATCGGATGTCTACCACTAGTCCAGATGCATTGTAGAGTATTAAAATCTTGTAGTCACTTTTTAACCGTTACTTAATGTAGTGTAACAAACTAGATAAGACTCTGGAGGCGAAGGGGGAGGCACAACATGAGTATCAAAATCTAAATAAATTTTGAATTTATTCGAATATTATAAACTAGATAGTTTTATTACATAAGCAAATAACAAGTAAACGTTAAAAGTTTTACTGAACATTATAATCAAAATAGTAGGAAAAGTTGAAATGTTTTTTCTTTGCAATGAATCTTAATATTAATTACCGTTTTTAAAGGAATATCTAATTATTTCACTTCAGTCCAACTGCTGACACTTTGTACTTATTCAAACTGTATCAGTTAGTTTTTAAGTCTCTTGCTACTTATCTCTTTAGCGTTACTCTTTCTGAAATTGAATTTGTCTTTTCGCGACTTGGTAATAAAGAAACTATAATTGAAAATCTACATTAATTTCAAAAACTTTCTATTAATTTCGTCCTTTTACTATCTCCAAGATTTTTTCGAACATTTTTTTCCTCTTCAAGCTGGTAAATTTATCATCTTATCATCTATTCACATCTTGGGAGATAAGGATTACAGCTTGTTACTCAATTCAATTGACAACTTCCGGAGTCACAGAGTGGTGAAATTACCCCTAGCGTTTGATAAATTAGAATATATATATGACCGTTTTCTCTAACCTACAATCAAACTCGACTCAAATTCTCACCTTGTATTCATAGAAAGATAACCGTACAACATACCATATACGCTGTAAAAAGTTCTTATAGAGTTAGATTATCCCTCATCGTTAATGGACTGAAAAGTAAATTATATAGATGTTTCACTCCTGTTTTCAATTCTGGTTACACTATCTTAAGATAGACGTAACTTTCGCTACTCTGTATCTTCAATAATTTATAAATAATGAGACTCTGACTTTGTATATCCGCCATGGAATCGAATCTTCAATCGTTTGTTGCTTCTAATGAAGAAAATTTTTGAAAATTTAAAAGAATATATGTTTGTATGCACTGAACCCTATTCAAAACATGAGAGTATCAGAAATAACATCTTTCACAATCAAATGTAAATATTCTTATGGTTAATTGACATTATTAATGGCCTATCGAAATTATTGTATTAAAAGATAACTTAAAATTCATGATGTTTCTGATACTATAGTCGATTCTAGAATAATATTATTTAAACACAAATTGTTGAAACTTTCGTGATCTTCATCACACAAATGAGCATTTTCTACATGTTCTATTTGTTCACAATCTGGTTCTTCTTCGATCTGAAAAAAAAAAAAAAAAATTTCTTAAAAAAAAAAAGTAAGAAACATAAGTTGTTTTCTATCCGTATTCCTCAGTTTTCAAGTGCATTCTTGTGTGTTGGTAAAGGTTGGTAATTATATAGTATAACTTCGTCACTTCCAATTCCTTCGAAAATAGCGTATGTTATAAAGATGATAGTACTGAGTTAGAATTATATATATATATATTTTTTTCACATGTCAAAGCTTAGAAAATAATAATTTCAGTTTCAATTTGATTCTACTGAAACGTGATTTGTTTTAGCAGTGACTAATAGAATTTATTATACGAAGTGCATTTGCACCATTGAAAATATATCACGTGAATAAATAAGATACAGTACCGGACATAAAGGCTGTTCAATTGTTTAAAGGTTATACATGCGATTTCCTTACACTATCCTATAGAAAATCACACAGCATTTATTTTCCGTACTGCAGAAGCCAAGAGGTTGGAGCGCAAGGGTGGAGAAGAGTGATTATTTGAAGTAATATTAACTAAAAATAACAACATTCTTTGAAAAATATCTTTGCTTTAATTTTTTTATTTGTTTTTTCATGAATGGTCTAAATTATCAACACTCTTCCTCCAGCTGCTTTACTTACCACTGTCTACTAATGTTTGATATGAAAAAACTATATTTGTTTTTGGTTTTCGCACCCCATATATGTATACATTCTTGATAAGCATCATTAGAAGTACATAATACTTCATTTTTAAAGGAATCAAGAGTGACAGAGTAATATTATATAGTTACCGATTTTTCTATTTCAGTAAAATTTTTTTTTTTTTGGAAAAGTATTACCTGAGTGTCATCATCAGCATCAGGGCTTTCCGGCCTCTCTTCGAAATCTTGATCATTGAAATCATGGTAGCAATGGCATTCATCATCTGATTTGAGTTCAGTGATCGTAAAATTGTTTCCAACAGGGAGAATTTCATCAAAACTTAATTCTTCTCCCACTGTTTCTTCTTCTTCTTTTTGTTTGCGAGTGTCATGAGTGATTTCATTTGCTTCCAAATTTTTTTTTTTTTTATTCTCAGCTTCGACAGCACATCTGAAAATTTTTTTATAGAGTGGATATCAATGCAGATTTTGTTATAAACTTGTCATTCTAAAAGTTTGGATCGTAAATTAACCACCAAATGGGAAGTTATTGCAATGGGTTTGATTTTGTGAATCCCGGATTCTGACATATTTCGACATTTTAAGGTTCTAAGAGTCGAAACCACTCAAAATTATTTTTCATCTCAATTGTCTTGAGAAAAAGGAGTGATATCGACGCGTAACTATTTGATGCGTAATTACGCAATTTATAATTTCAAAATCCGGCAAAATCGGTTGAGCCATTTTTAGTGTAAAATCGAAAACCTTACACGAATGGTAAGCTAGCTGCAATGATTCCTCAAATCTCAAATGTTTTTAACATCTATTTGGGGACTCGTCTAGGATAAGAGCCAGATTTGAACGGTTTGATGAAAATTATGCAGTATTAAATATTCTATGACGGTGCATAGCAACTGACAAGAGTTAGAGTGTGCGGTATGGAAGTTAGGAAAATATTTTACCATTTTCGAAAAACGGTTGAATAAATCAGTTGCACAGTATCAAAAAGTCTGACAAACAATCGAATGACACACAGTTGAAACTCAACATCAATGAATTTCGTACACAGCTAGAAGAATAAGGTCTATTCAGATGCGACTTAGCTGGGTCTTAAAGGACTAGACAATACCAGCGGAAAATATAACGGTGCCGATGATGAAAGCGACTCTTAAGATGAAGACGACAGTAGCGAAAGTAAAGATGATAATGAGCTACTGAAAGAAGTTGGTGAAAGAGAATCATCTAGGCGAAGACGTGAAATCAAGACAGTTGAAAATGGTAATAGGTAAGTTGCAGCGTCCGACTAATCATCTGAGCCCAAATTAACGTTCGGAGACATGGAGGATGTACTTGAGATATTAAATAGTGACGCTGATAAAAATTTTGTGAAACAGATCATGAATTTTGTCAAAGTTACAGAAATATATTTTGTAGAAAACAGAATAAAATTGTTTCTATCCGTGTTACATGGTAGATAACTTTTCTTTAGTAAAATAAGAAATTTTCCATTAAAAGAATTCTATTGCATAAATTGCGTTTTCAATTGTTATGAAAAATTTTATTGTTTATAATAGATGCAATTGTTATACACAATTTCCGACTCGGAATATGCTCTATCATTATATCGTTTATGACAACTAAACTTTTTTGAAAGTATTTTGTTCCATTTGTCAGATATAGCCTCTTTGCTAATCCTTGTATATGTAGTTGAATAATTATGATTATTTATAACGTTTGATCGACACAGAAAGTGTGACAATGATTCATTTCTAGCAAATTACTTTATTAATGAATGTAGGTATAAATGTCTCTCAACAAATATCGTAGGAAGAGTGCTTCCGCTGCAAAAATTTTACTTTATTCATTTACAGTTGATACATAAGTACATTTACAATATTTTATTATGATCATAATGTTTAAACGTGCTATTCCACAATTCAAATAGTGTAATATTATTTGAATAAGAAATTCACAAAAAACAGATATCGTTCGATATCTGTAAAAAAAAACGGCGCCACGTTACTGTTGTTTGAAAATCCGATATTTTTAAATCGTTCTAAATGCAAGAAATGTTTGAAATCATAGAATTGCGCCAAGTTTGAGTTGCCATAATCGCAAAACCATAAAAATGTTTTTACAACACCTAACGCAGGTGGCGCTTGCATCACAGGTGCGGTATACTCAGTCTCGACAGCGGATAGAAGAGGAGTCAAACTCTGACTCTTCAATATCAGACGCTCTAGAGATTGAGGACGAAGTTTCACTGACACCCGAAACAGCTGCACCGAGGTGGAGCATACTTCCGTTCCGCCCTTCTCTCACTGCAGAACCCCTATCTCCTTCCCCCTGAGAGCGTCAATCGACAGGACTCCACAAACAGAGAGGGTAATTTGCTCTGGAAAATTACGCTCTCGGCAGAACAAATAGCTAGCGCTAACGAAGGTCTGGACTATCGGGTACCAGATGGTGTAGACCTTTTTGCACTGAATAATGCAGTCTACGATGTAGCTCGAGGGTTTACTCAGGGCAGACGAACACCTGTCAATCCTGAGTTAAGCCTGAAAAGACGCATCGAACAGATTGCAAATAAGATCAAAAAGGCTCGACAGGGTGTTTCTCATATTCAAAGTGTGATGGATCACTTAAATACTCACAGACCTTATACGCCAACGATTCGGCGTATCGTGGCGAGTATTATACGTGAACATTACACTTTGAATACGGTCGTGTTACTGATCCTGAAGGAGAAAGACACAAGCAAAATGAGATCGATAATGGTCATTGAAAAGTCATGAGCAAAGTTCCAATCTGACCCTTCGCGCTTTCTTAAGCCGCAAGCCCCTGTCACTTATGAGCCTCTAAGTGCAGAAAGAGTCAAAACCTATTTTCTAAGAATATCTATGAGGAGATACGCCTATTTCTGAATGGCTCGTTAAAGGGCGCATTGTGCTGATCCCCAAAAGTGGTGATCTGTCTAATCCTAATAACTGCAGGCCTATTGCATGTCTGCATACTCTTTACAAATTGTTCACTTAGATCTTGAACGAAAGGATTCTGACTGCAATAGAACCTATATAGAGACAGATAAACGAACAGCGTAGTTTGACAGGTTGCAAGGAAAACTTGTTAGGAGATCGGCGCGTTACAATGTTACTCTTATGGGATAGACGAGACTCTAATGCTGCCCTATGATCCCGGTGAAATTGAGTCAGTCGTTGAGAACGGGAGAGCGAAAATTTTTCGGAATTACCCGCTCTCTACGCCTTAACGCATTGAACACAATAAGCTAGATATTACTCTCTTCGACCATGCCACCATGCACGTATATTACATTGAGTTCTTAACCCCGGCTGAGACGAATATACGTGCGGAAAAAAAGAGTAAACAGGAATGCTACAGAGAGCTCATGGAGGTCATGAGAAACCTCTCAGAGGGATGAGGAACAGCTTCCTGACAGAGCTTCGAACAATACTAGTCTGCCGTAGTCAGGCTGAAATTCTCGCGGCTCGAATACAGATAGTTGTGAGTAAAGAAGCCATAGTACATTTAAAAGAGTATTTTTGCAATAATAATAGATCAGGGACATTAATTTCCGATAGAGGAACGTGCTTTACTTTCAGTAAGTTCTAAAAACAAAATACTGTCAACCATGCAAAGATAGTGAAATCCTACGATGAAATCCAGATCATTTTCGTCTTTTATCAATCCTCACGAATTGATTTCTTTCGATACCGTTGCAAAGGATACATATCCGGAATTAGTTTATTTATGCTGAAAAATTAATACCTAAAACGTTTTTTGATTGATCTATTATTTTGTACCCTAATCATACACATTGCGTGAATAGAGCAGCATAAATCCGCTAACCGAAAATATCTATAATATATAATACTACATGAATGTCTAGTGTCTGTCTGTTGGTCTGTTCGGAATAATCTCCGAAACGGCTCATCCGATGGCAACCAAATTTCGCACACATGTAGAGGGCATTAGAAAAGTTATAGGCTACTTTTTGTTCATGTAAATTGTTTAGAAAAATTGAATTTGTTCATGATCAATTGAAAAAGGGATCTTTTTAACATATTTGGGACCTTACAACGCGTAATTTGTTTTTCTACCAAAATAAAGTTACAAACCATGTCATATCTATAGAAACCTATTCCTTTTGTTTATAAAAATTACATTTGTTATGAACAATTAAAAACGGGAAGTATGCAAGATTTTGAGTTCTTCTAAAGTGATAATATACATTTCGTGAACAAAGTCGTGGGTATTTGCTAGTAGTAGTATAGATTTATTTATCAGTTATTAACTTTATTTTTATACTTTACAGAAACTTTTATTAAGTCATTATCCATTCAGCTATACTTTAGAATAGGAATAGTTCGATTGGCATTTTTTTGCTTCTACACCTACTTCTCAAAAATCTGCCACTTATATGTGTATATATACATATATACTAGCTGATTCCCACGACTACTTTTACATAATGTGCATAATCATATTACATAATAATAGATTGATCAGTAAAATTTTTAATAGCAGTCCGTAGTTTCGATAAGGCAATTCCAGTTACACATTGCTTGGTGATAGTATTAAACCAGAAGTGATGAATTTGTAAGTATTGATAAGAGATAGAAAAAATTTAAATTTTATCGTGTGATTTAATTACTGCATCTTTACAATGATTCTATTTATATAAGTAAAAGGACTCTTTCTTCATTTATGTGACATGGTCGATAACTTTGCTTTGTTAAAAAAAAACATCGCGTTGATAGAACTCTGATTCATTGTGTAGCTACTGTTATGACGTGTACATAACAAATCTAATTGTTACAAAAAACAGAGTATATTCCTATTCGTTTTATGTGGTGAGTAATTCATTTTCAGTAATGGGAAAAATTGTTGTTGAGAAAACTTGAATACATTGTATAGATTCCGTTTTCAATTTTCTGTAATAAATTCGATTGTTATAAACAATTTAAATCGACAAAATCTATAAAATTACAGATTTTTATGAAGACCTAGTTATCCTTTTTCTGACACAGACACCCACTAAGAATGGATTTTAACTAAATTCTATCCAAAATATTTTTTCACCGATCATCAATAATATATCAATACTCGCTAGTACCCATATGTCGCTATCGTAAAATTTGTCATAATAACCGTTACTATGGTAATCATTGACAAATTGAAAAGTTTAAGTAGAGACAAGTTCAATATTTATTGTATGTCCAAATTCTTTAGTATAAAAATAAAATAAATTTACAAGTACGAATATATTTACATACAAGTTAAGAAAATGTGCCACAGGAAATTCAAGAGTTAACTAATAGTAATACTTGATATTACATAAATCTTTGATGTATAACGTTAGTAAAAATGTTATAAGGGTTATGTGAATTATATGGGATTATTACACGAAAAAACAAACTGAAACTGTGTGTTTTAGAGCTGAAATGTGTTTTTTTTATGTCTAACAAATTCTTTAATATTTTCCACTATTCTATTAGTTTTCCAAGCCAATTTTTTTTCCAATGGAAAAAAATTTAACATAAAAATATCTTATAAAGTAACGGAAAAAGTCGATATTTTCATAAAACATTACTTAAAACAAAATATGTAATTTATGGAAATTTTGATTTTTTTGTAAATTCGCAAAATATATAACACAAAATTTTACACACTTATACAATTTATTTAATTTACATCCAGGCAAGCAGTCGGATGTTAGTTAAATTACATAATAATCATCACTCTTTTATCATTTTAGATTCATGTCATTGTCAACAAAGAATTGAGCATTTTATTTACATCTAGGATCCACAATCAAATTTTATTATAAGATTAGTGATGCGAGTTTTTCTATAAAAGCTGTTTGGTAATATTGATAAGCACGATATTAGATGAAAAATAAAGTTAGTCAAAGCGATAAATGTATTATTTTGAAATCCATTCTAGTACCTATTTTCGGAATGCAATATCAAATAGGTTGTGTAAGTACGTTTAAGATTTCTGTATATAAATTTTGTTTTTCTTTGTGAATATCAAAATTGTCATCGTGTTAGAACAAAAGAAAGTAGGGTTTCCAATACCTTTCTTCCTCTGCGACGTTCTTTTCATGTAATCGTGTTGCTAAGATCTTTTCTTCTTCAGCTCGCCTGAATTCTTCAACCTGTTCTTGATCATCTATCTCTAGTAACCGAAGTTGACGAGCTTCTTCTTCAAGACGTACGCGTTCTTCAATTTCTGCTTTCCATCTTTCTTCGGCCAATCTGTGTATCATAAAAGTTTTGAATCACAATAATTATAACAGATGAGAAGACCAGGCCAATATTACCTGATCTTCTCAATCTGTTCTTTCTTCTGTATTTCAGCTTGCCTTTTAAGTTCATTTATTTGCATTCTCAACTCATCTTCATCGAGTTTCCGCTGCAATACTGTAAGAAATTTAATGTATCTGTTATTAACACTTAGATAAATAACCATCATTATCTTTTATAATTTTTGAAAATATAGGTTCTTTTTTAACAGATGAAAAAAAAATAAATCATGATAATAATGATAAAGATGGTGATATCCATTTCCAGGATACGAAAACCACGATGACATACCATTAGGATTATCATTAACCCGTTGGTGATCGACTTCACTCGATTTAGTGCTGAAATTTTTTCCATTTTTGGAAGTGATAGATTGATGTAGCATTGAATGGTGATCAGATGATGATACATGGTTCTCAAAATTGATTTCATTTACTTCTGGAATCTTTCCGCTCATAAATGGAAATTTCAACGGATAAATTCCATTATTGCCTCCGTTCAATATCTGTGTATTTTTTTTCGACTCTCTTACATAATTAATATCTATTGTATTTGATTCACCCACTGAGCATTCATTTTTATTTGGTAATATTATTTCTAATTTGATATCTGAAATCTTTTCCAATCTCGAGCCAGTAAAAGATTCCAATTTAGGCTCTATTTCTTCATCGTACGTTTCATCATGATGATTTATATTCATGATAACTTCAGGCTCGGAAACAATTGATTTACTTAGTGCTTGTTCATTGGATTTAATTACGACTTCTGGAATCGATAATTCGAAACATTAGTATTAATATTAAAATGTCATGTTTAAAAAATTTTAAAAAATCGCCTGGACGTTCGCATTTATGCTTTCTATATCAGTTGTATTTTACTATCATCCATTTTTAGTAACAAACGTTCAGAACGCGATCGACGAAGATATACTTGATTCTTTCTTATAAGTAATATATAACGAATGTCTCAATATTTAATGATTTTATATTATAGAAAGTTTATCGATAATACAAAGCATTCGAAAAATGATTAGAAATAAATGTTTTTTAATATATAAGCTATTGTCATCAACCTATTATGTAATAGTATTCTAACCAAACCTGATTACATTCATAGACCTGAGGATAATAAAGTTTCGATCATTTTTCGATAGCTGTGTAAAAGATATTCTGACGATAGTCTCTTATAAGAGAGATAAAATGTAGCATTTTTTACTATGGCATCATTACTGCCCGAGCTGTAAATAAGAGTGGCAAACACTCTGGAAAGGATAATCTTCCGAATAATTTGTTTAACACTCTATAAAAATATTTTTGTTATTGTAATATAACGAGCCCTATAGTTTATAATAAATAAAAATCGAGAATATTTTTATAACTAATTTTTTCAATTCTCAAAGATGTATAAGGCAATAATTGGTAACTCGTTTGAAACTGTACTTGAACGAATATAAATGAAACGTCTTATCATGTTTTTGTTGTATTGGTAAAGGAAAACTCACCTTTATTTTGTATCGAACATTTATGTAAACTTTCCGACGAGTAAACTAGAGAATAATCCAAAAATGATTATTAGAAAGTAGTGATTAATTGAAGAAGAATAATCTTGTACTAACCATCCATAATTTCCGGTTCAATATTCAATGTATCAGGATCTGAATATAGAAAATGATTAATGAGAATGAAAAAAAATTCAAGTACTATTATACTAATTAATGACTTAAATTATTTATGTCCCTACCATAAAAAAATGGATTAATATGTAATCAAGAGGTAGATATAATAAATTCAACACTGAGAATCAGTAAGAAGTCGCTACGTAAAAATAAAAGTCACTGGAGGCAAATTTATAAACACACTTCGATAACAAATTTTTACAACGACAGTATTAAAAAACTTACCTTATGAAAACAGATTATATCAATGAATTATGATTTTATATCTTGTAAATTTTTTACGATTAGTAAATTATGATATTTAAAGTAATTTGATAATAAATGGAAATTAGTTTTTTTTAATTCATTTGGTAACATTGAAATCTATGAGTAATGCTATATGCATTTGTTGAATGTAATCAGACTAGATAATCTTGGTGTACATATAACATTACATTTTCATGGAAAATCGAATATTCCATAAAGTTGAGCCATTGATTCATGTGTTATCGTGGTAGTCTTCTTTGCAAATTCGAATATAAATATACTACATATTTGAATGATATACTATACTGAAAACTAATATCGCATGTAATCTATCAGAAATGTGTTTATTCGTTAATCTTCAAGTTCTGGAAGGGCTTCTTCAGCATTTTCATGAATTGGTTTTATCATGCAGGTAGGGTCTTCATTAAGCTCAGGTACACGGTCTCTCCATCCTCGGTCTGAAACGTTCAATAAGTCCGCAGTTTTTTCTGCGTTGTATTTAATACGCTCTGATAAATTCGATTATTCATTTAAACTTATTTATTTTTCGTAAATGTTAATACCACGATTATCGCCTTATCAATCTAACGATTTTTCATTATACTACGTAATTAACGTGAATTAATAGATAACCCAAATATCAAGTATGAAATGAATAAACTCGATTGTTAAATTTTAAAATTATTTTTCTCTGATTTTATTATCTGAAATGATATGCACATTAATGAATCGTATTGGAACTTATGATCATCGGTAAAAAAGTAACTAAAAAATGAAAAATCGACTTGATGTTTACATTTATTAATAACTCATTAATTAGTAACCGCACATATAATAGCGTCCCAAAGCTACTTTTTGGGGCTAACATAGACAAAATGTTATTAGTAAAAGATACCAATTTAGAAGATTAAAATCTTTAAAAGATGTCCGAATTTCAGTCAAATGCATTTTGACAAACAGATTGAATGTGATACTAAAAATTTATACTCTCCAGTCAATAATTGTTCGTCACAGAGTTTCTATATCAAAATTTGCTACAAGAATGCTGTTTAGTCATGTACGGGTAATATAATAGTATTATGAGGGTATTTTCTAATAATGAGACACTTTTCTCATTGACTTCAGTATTCATCAGAGGAAAAATCTTGAAATAGTCAGAAGTTAATGACTCTGCGTACATAAATTGGTACTGGTCGGCACTTTATATATAAAAGTCATCTTTTCATTGTTATAGCCATGACTGAACACGTAGTATTGGCAATATTTTTTGTTCCTATTTAACTGACATTGGCAAAAGGCACTTAATAGCAGATGTTCTAAATAATGTAATATAAAATTATATTGATAAATTTAACTGTGCTTCCGAGGACGTCAGCTATGAGGTCCTGTATGTCAATGGCCAGCATCGGTTATATATATTGTAAAATAAATATATGCCTCCATTTATATATTAACGACTACATTTTTTATCAGCAATGCTTGACTGATTTGTTCATGTTCAGTTGCTATCAAAAACATTTGCTAATTGATTCATTAAACGTTTCTATTAATTCATAATACTTGCATTTTTACTTTATAAAAGAATAATTATTTTATTGCTGTTAACAGGAATAAAAAAAAAGTTCATCTGAATGATAAAAAAGCTAGAAGTAATGTTATCACAAATTTTTTTGTTATCACAAAGCTGAGTCAAACTCCTTTATAAGCTCCTTGAAGTCGGTCAAACGCCTTTATAGTCAGAGTAAAAAGAATACAATTGCATTTGCTGAGTTTACCCATACAGAAAAAGTTATTTTTTTTACAATATGTAATACTTCTAACATATTTCGAAATGATAGGATTTACAAAAAAATAATATATGCGTAAGTATTGATAATAAAAGGAAATAATTCAAATTCCGTTGTACGACTCGATTTCCGTTCCTTCACAACTAATTATGTGATACAAATGAAAGAAGTCTGCTTATCAAGAGATACGCAAAAATCAGTTAATATGTACAAAGGTTCGTGAAATCTCATCAAAAACAGCTGTTGGTTTACCCTTAATTCGATAGGAAATTTCGACAGTACTCAAATCCCATTAAACATTGTTCAGTCCTATTGCTTTAAAGAGTTAAAATTGATAAAAAAATAGCTTTCATTTAAAAATGAGCGCTTAGATTTGAATAATTTGCGTTTAATGATTTTTAAACTGTTCGTAATTTTATCATTGTCATTATTTACTCTTGGCGCATATTTTTGTACAACCCAGAAGGAGGGGGCTGTTTGTGATAAGATATTCATTTTACAATGTAAGCAATTTTGCTGCAGTACAGAAAAAGATTCCCCGTGAAGTAAACTCGAACACGATGCATAGATTCTATTTTTCATAGTTTATCACAAATTTAATTGTCATAAATAATTCACATTAGCAAAAAACAGCCTATAACCTTTCCCATAATGCCCTCTACATGTTTGCAAAATTTAGTCGCAATCGGAATAGCCGTTTCGAAGAGTACCCTGATCAGGAAGACAGACACCAGAAATTTATGTAGTAGATTTAGACTGGACGAAACAGATATCTTCGGATATCTCTGAACGTACTTAATTTGTCTCAAATTATAACTTGTGAAAGACAAATCTCTACAGTTCTACAGGCCCAATACCGAACAGTGTGTAAGAAGACCCCGAGGAGGGGGGGAGGACAATTCCTCAGCTCACTGCTTTACACGATCTACGTGCCAGGCATCAATGGCAGACTATTACTTCGGATTTTTTCCTAACTGTTCGCTTATAACATAACGATTTTTACTATTCTCCAAGATGAATCACACTATAAAAGTGATTTTTTCATTAATTTTAACTCTTTAAAGCAATAGGACTAAACAATATATAATGGGATATTAATACTGTCAAAATTCCCTATCAAATTAAGGGTAAACCAATGGAACGTTCAAATAGAATCTTATCACCACAAAAAAAAATAAGCTGAAACAAAAGGAAATTTGTAATTCGTTCTCGAGGCTTTTTATTTAAACAGATTTGTTGTCTAAATATACACCTGAAAAAGAATTTATTAGAAACTTTATCCGAAAAAATCTTATTTATTGTGAGATTCGATCCTGGCATCTTCGAGTTCACAAGTCTGGTACGCTGCTGATTGAGCTATTTTAAAATATGAAGACACGGCTTTCACCTAATCAATTTGTGTTAAGCATTGGTAATAATTTACACATGATTTAAGTTTGCTTCTTAGCAAATATTTCGAAGTGGAAACAGAATAATTATCATTTGTACAAATCTGACAAGTACAATGCAACGTAGAAATTATATTTTTATCCCAATGTTCCATGAAAGGAGTTTATATTATTCAAAAAGAGAAAATTAGAACAATTTCTATAGAAAATCAATAGACTTCAACAGAATATACAACTTAGAAAATATTTTCTCATTTCAGTATGCCACAATAGGATTGGATATTGTTTGATAGGTGTAATTTTGTCAAGTCTTTATAAGGGATAAATACACTGAGAAGGAAAATACAACTTGAATACATTTTATTGTTTTAATATTTTTTAACAACATTTGTTGTTTTTTAATAGTACCAATTTCTTTTTTTTTTTAAATTTACAATTGCTATTTGTTTCTATCAGAAAAAAGAAGATTTAGAACAAATATCAGTACCCTCCAGTGGTCTGGGTGCGACCTGAGAAGTCTACACAACTAACCTCTGAATGGAAAAAACGATGAAATTTAGCTTTTTCCAGATCTTTGATTCTGCAACAGAAATTACTGGACAGATTTTACTGACAACTTTACTTTATTAAAACTGGAAGCTTCAATAAGACTTCAGACATTTAAAGAGGCCTATAGAAATTCGAAGAAGTCTATACGATTCTACATATTTTAGTAGAACAATTTAAACATGGTTCTCTCGTAGAATAAAAATTTCTAAGAAGTATTTTTGTTACATCTGATCCAATTTTTTGTTTAAATATTTGTTATGTCCGGCCTATCATTTTAATTCTCTTTAATTTTCGTTCCTTCGAATAAATTACTTGACGAAACTTTGATTCTCTTGCAAAACACCCAAGTCTTTCACTCTTGATTTTTTTTTGTTGATTCCTTTTTTAGTTCACCGTCCCAGCTGACAAAGCTGCAGAGTTGAGTATTCGGGACCCAGATATCATACACGAGCCACGAAACATTGACGGATGTTTCACAACTTGATTTTTGCAACTCGAAGTGCAAACGGTGCACTGTTGCTCTATTTGCAGCAGTAGGAGCTCCTATCGAGGCTTTTCGTCAATGACCGTAGACTCGTCAAGACGGCCTGCGTACCGAGCGTCGCGTAATAATTTTCTTGTTAATAGAGAATACTTCTGATTCTCTACGTATCTCTGGAAGGCAAGTTTAACCTCCAGCGTATCGAGAGTCGTAACTCAAAGAGCAGAAAATGTGAAAAATCTTGGTGTCGAAATTAACTTATAATTAAATATCAATAATAAATTCCTTATCGAGCCCAAGTGCAAAGTGTCACATTGCGAACTCAATAAAATTAAAATAAATAAAGTGAATTGTTCATTCAGATTCTTACGAACAGTTAAATTGAAAATTGTCATAACTTCATAATGATCAAACCTCGAACTCTATTTATAAATTACAATTAATAAATCAAGTAAAAGAATATCTTACAAAAAAATAAATGCGTGTCTTCGAAAATAACCATCAGTGTCTCTTGATATTTGTCTACAATATTTCTGAACTTTCTGGCCCTTATTGAGAATCACCAAAGAAGGAGAGTGAGCATGATAGTTTTTTTTCCAAGTCCCCTTTTCATGGTAAGTATAAATTTTCTGTATTAAAGTCAGATCTTAATTATTTCCTTTTTTTCCTCCTTCCATATTTAATCCTTCGCACGATAAACTGCGTAGAACCGCCACTTCCAGTTAAGATCACAACGAATCCCTAAATCAAAATTAAATAAAGGAAACGACTTTTCGCACCCTGAAACCTACTGTTAGACCGAGCGCCCCCTTCACGAAAGCACGCTATCCTTCATCTCCAATTTTGGCTTTTTAAATAATTATCAATTTAAATTATTAAATTAAATAAACTCGAACATAACATATTCAATGGAATTCGTTAATTTCAAAAAAGATGAAGAAATCATAAACTAGAACATCTGAAGTCATACACGCTTATTCAGCATTTCTTAATCCACAGCAACTTTTGTGCTAGATTTCCCCTAAATTTCTTCAATTAATCGGCCTAATTAACTAATATAAAAACCGTCAAAAATCATCACTCTTTGGGTAATCAACAACCTAGACGGTGATTCACAAGTTTGATTTTCCCGCGCTCGCTGACCACATCGCGTTAGTAAGTTGAGAATTCTACTACGATTTTTCAGTTATCCTAACAAAGCGTTTGCTAACTTAGACCTCTCGGATCTGTTTTAAATCCGACATAGAATCCTCTCAGTCTATGTGCGTATTGAGACGCCTACCAAAAAGACTCAACTAAAATTAAACTAAACAAAAAATAGAATAATAAATCTCTTCTTGAGTTTTATTTCTTATTAATTTATAACTTATATTAAATTTGTAATTGTGTTTAAATAAAATCGAGTGAACGAAAGAGTATTTAGTGCGTCCATGTCTCCTTGAGAAAGCACCTCTATCTACCTTGGTTCAAGTTCGACACTGCTGTGCGGTAATTATTATAATAATTTACTTCATCACATTAACTGAGGCATAGGTTCTTGTAAGATAGGACTTCATTGTGACAATTCCTTCAAACTATTTAATTAATTCTTCAAATTAATTAATTATAAATATCTTCGGACATAACACTTATAAAATAAGTCTATTTTCTATTGAAACTTTACCAACGTCTTCCTATTGAAATGAATGAAATCCTATTGGTAATCCACCCAGGTCATTGACAAGTTGCGCTTGTAGTAGTATGCGTCCATTGTAACGCATCGGTCTACTAACAAGTTCTCCTTGCAACCTGTCAAGTTACGCTGTTCGTTTATCTGTCTCTATACAGGTTCTATTGCAGTCAGAATCCTTTCGTTCAAGATCTAAGTGAACAATTTGTAAAGAGTATGCAGACATGCAATAGGCCTGCAGTTATTAGGATTAGACAGATCACCACTTTTGGGGATCAGCACAATGCGCCCTTCAACGAGCCATTCAGAAATAGGCGTATCTCCTCATAGATATTCTGAGAAAATACGAGCCAGATGCTCGTAAGATGATGTCAATTTCTTCCACCAGAAGGTAGGAATTGTATCTGGCCCAGGGGCAGCCCAGTTCTTTGTGCCCCTTAAAGCATTGATGACCATTATCGATCTCATTTTGCTTGTGTCTTTCTCCTTTAGGATCAGTAATACGAATTCTCGGCGTATAAAGTCTGTGAGTATTTATGTGATCCATCACACTTTGAATATGAGAAACACCCTGTCGAGCCTTTTTTATCTCATTTGCAATCTGTTCGATGCGTCTTTTCAGGCTTAACTCAGGATTATTATTATTATTATTATTGCTACGACTATTATCATTTTACTAAATTATGTTTTTCTTATTGTTTTCAATGAAATCATTTCTCAATATGCTTTGTCTCTATAATTTACAATTATCTAACTGCGTCTATGCATTGATCTTTTAAAAACGTGTTTTTTTTTATTGATGCGATACGTACGGTACTGTTTGTACGTGCATCATGTCCCGATCTTCGATTTGTTGTTTTCGAGATATTTATAAAGAAAAAAAAATTTTTTCATTACCAAAAAAAGCACATTCTGTCATGTAGTCACAAATTCATACTAATGACTGCTGTCACTGCAAACAACTTGATGAATAAAGTCAGTTAGCGTTTAACGGATATTCATTTTCCAACGTATATTGTCTGGACTTATGATACTTATGTCTAGATCACTGGATGGAAAGTAAAATTTTCATTTAAATTTTTAGTAATCACTGTTCGAATTACTTTTTGTCAAAACACATTTGCTTTCATGAATATAATAATAGAAAAGTTGTGTTTACACAGAAAATGTTTGCACTCTGTACCCATAATTCAATTTGCTAATTCTTTACACAAAATATGTATTTCATATATTCCTATTACAAACAATATGGCCTTAATGATTTGCAATGAACATGTACGGGAAAGAATAGCTACGTGTCAATTACAAGTTTATGGTTTTTTCTTCGTGTAATTGTTGAAAAGATTTCTATACTTATTGTCTCATATCGTTACGAAAATTGTCAGGTTTTTATTTCATTTTCAGTAAACGTTTCAGTGCCTTTGATTCTTTATTATTTATGAAATAGTTCAATTATGACTGTGGATGTATCCTACCTCTCGTATACGAACTTCTTGCACGTACGTAAATTATTATTCCGGACACTTTTACCGGATCATTTAACAGAATAATGACTTGATATATACTTACGGATGCTTGCTGCTGCATGTCGATGTTTTGCGTAGAAACTGAGCAAATTCACATCGTTTTGAATGTCAGCTGGACGTAAATCCGAAACTTTGTAATATGGTCGTCTACGCGAAATCGGTTTCCCAGCACTGTACGTTATCGCAGCGAGATTTCCATTTCCAAGATGACGATGTTCCGGTGATCCATACCAACTATCAGTTTTCTCTTCTTTTGTATTTTTCCGGGCTGTTAATATACGTCGGATATAATCATCACTCCGCAGACGTTCAGGCACGATGGCTTCTACAAAATCACTATAAATTTTCATTTAACAACGAACGTTATTTACAATCTTAAATACTACAAATATCGTAAACTATGTGCCAAACTTTGAAACAACATCGATAGTTTGTCTACGTATCAGCTGTCCGATTGTTACAAGTCATTTTTAACAAATATCTTTTCTGTATCGTCCCAATTTAATGATAATATCTTTCGTTCGATTTTAAGAATCTATTTTCAATCATTTATAGCAATAACAATTTTCTACTCGATACGAACAATATAGAATCATTCAGAGATAAAGGGATTGTTATTTATAATAATATTTTATCAATATCAACTCAATACATAAATATTCGAAATAATTTAATAAACAGAAACTCTAATTATTAAGAATGAACTCACAAGTATTAAAGAAGTTGCAATCTAGCAGCAAGTTAGTTTAAGCATGCAATCCTTACTTCATAGAACGAAACCGAATTCACCTTGCTTTTAGCTAAAACGAGTTTATGCTGAGTAGTTTTCGACCCGAAATATTAATCACTATAACTGAAAAATTATGATGTTTTCATCCGTTTTTAAGCAACTGGACATCGTCCCGGAACTGCTGTTGCACTAGTATTAAGAGAAAGCTAGATCAATAGAAAATTTCTTCCTTAATTGACTGAATTACAAGAGAGGGATATACACATATAAATCTAATTAATTGTTGAAATTTACTCTTAGTTTATTAAACGATTCTTTGCTAGGTGAATTGTTGAACCATTATATTCCGTTTTAATACTCTTTCTAAAATTTCTAATAACTTCTATTTTTCAGTTTTTCATTGTAAGTATCAAAAAATATTTGTTATAGTAAGTCAACTGAGATAATTTTTTATTAATTATTATGTAGGGAATTCACCATGAGGTCTATCCTCAATTTAAACGAACATCTAATCTGGAAGTTGTCTGCCGTATTGAGATCAATCAATTATCGACATCTGGCATGCACTAATCAATAGCTTTTATATTAATTAAAAATCTTTTCATATTTTGACCAGTACAACTTCTATCGAACATAATTCATTTATTCCTTTTTAACTTCCCACTAAAAAGTTATTAAAATTGGGTCAACTGGTGAAATTTGAATTTTCATCATATCTCCACGTTTCATGACATTTGCGAGCATACTGACCAATTTTTAGAATGTGTATGTGTACGTACGTCAGCATTTTTTTGTTTTCGATATCTCAAGAACGGATTAAGATAATAACTTCAACCAAAGTTTATCCGAAAGATATTATTATAAAGAAAATCCGAGTGAAATTCGAACAAATTCGGTTCAAGCGTTTTTTTTTTATATAAAAAAAAACTAATAATAAATAAATGAAAAGATTAACTGTTGAAAATACTTTTAAGCGAAAGAATAACAATTTTTTCCGAAAATGAAGTCATTAGTGACTAGAGATTATTATTCACAACTGAATATGACTTTCACTAATGACATATTGCTTGTAGCAATATAAATTTGTAATGAACAATGAATATTGAATATTATTTATGACAAGATATGACTTTCCATAATTACACATTGTTTATTACAATATAAATTTTTTATAAACAATTACTAATGGGAAGTTCGTCGTATTAGTACAGACAAAGTGTGCTCAGACCTATTTTTTTGTACTGTTTCAAAAACACGTGTTTTCATAAGTAATCTTTAGCAAAAAATTAATATTCTATCATTTAAGTGACAAACCTGATCATCGCTTTGGAGATTTATAACTTCTGAACACGCTTATGATCTTTGTGATGCATTGTACGGACGGATTATTGCCACATACACAATGTAATCTACGAGTCTGACTACACGGAGAAGAAATTCCAACAAAAATTACGGTTCTTTCACTGTAGTCTTGTTGCAAGTAACAAATCTTAGGAAAATTTAAACTTTAGCAGTACAATAATTAAGATGTTTTCAACAATTTTCAATAAATGTTGAGAGAATTTTTGATAAACACAACCGTAAAAATTTCAGAACCTATAAAATTTATTAGCGCATGTTACAAAAACTGAAAATTTTAGACGCAAAATTAACGTAAAAACTTTAGTAACTTTCACAGTTCTTGCTGTAACATTATTTTTCCTTGTTTCTCGATGATGACTGAAAGCTTTGATTTTAAAATGAAAATTAACCCATAAACAATTTAGTTAAAGTTCCGTGAGTCAAGGTTTTTTTTTTTGAAATTTTATTCTGAAAGAAAATTCGTACGCCAATTTACCTTATCTATCATATTTATCGAGATTTCGATGTAATCTCAAATTTTTAAGTTTAATACATAAATCTAATGTGTGAGAGAAGAACAGACTTATGTATGAATACAGTCGGTGACGCCGGGCATTTGTGATGCGTGGTGTATGCAGGCGTTTAAGCGCATGCGCCAATTCATAGACATTATACTGTCAACCCATAGGTATACGTGAATATGAAGATATTATTCTTTGTATTGTGCGGACCTCATGCGTCACGAATCGTGTTTATTTCAAGTGCATTGTTTCAATAGTGATTATTCAAATCAATTCGTTTTTCTACAACGATTGTAAGTATATATTTTCAACATTTTTTTTTTTTTTAAGAAAATATTAACGTTTATATGGTGTCGAAAAATTGAAACTGATTTTATTACGTAGCAGAGTGTTCAATTTACACCAGCATTAACCTGATGTTTTGACGACATCTCGATTACTTGTTTATTTTATTTTTTGACCTGTCTGAATTTGTTTCTCATGAATTTAATATTTAATTCCTATATTATAAATTGACGGTTCAATTATAAATTGATATCTAATTCTAATCCTGATGTTTAGTGAATTTTTCTTCTACGTAATGATACTGTCATTTTTGTGTAAATTGGTTTGTTTTCTGATGTCATTGATTTCGTTTTTTTTCTAAACTTATTTGCTTAATAAAGTGATCGAAAATTTTTTTTTCTGTTCAGTCACAAAGATGTGGTCATTTAGAAAAAATTTGGAAAGAAGAGCAGTCGACTGTAAGTTTTGATTTTGAACGTCATAGATTCGGTGAATGATTAGAAGAACGCCACTCCTTCCAAAGTAGAAAAGTAAAATTCTTAATCCTATGCTTTCGATGAAAAAAATTTTTTGACTTGGTACTTGAAATCGAGTAATGATTTTAGTACCATTACCAATTAACTGATATCCAAGATACCTAAAGGTTTTTTAGTTCACCTATCGACATAATAGTCCAGTCAAATTAGACCTAAAATGGGAACTTTTCAACCTCAGTCAAACTTGGCTGGAATATTCCTAGACATGCTAGATTTGAATAGGAATAGTTTTAGGGGGTTGCAAACCCAGCTTCAGGGTGAAAAAGGGTCAAAATTGCTCCAAACCCCCTTTTTTCGCGTTTTTAGCGAAAACTATAATAGATATCAAAAAATATTTTCGACAAAAATTGTAGATAATGTGAAAACAGTTAGATCCAGGCAAATCACGCAGACAAATCTATCGTTATTTGAACAGGTGATTCATCAGTTTTGTGTACTTTACTCAACGTTTATATTAAAATGAGTACTCAGAGATCTCTAACAAGGTCAGACATATAGACGAACAACCAAAGACAGTCAAATCAGTTCTTGTGGTTTAGGAGACCTAAAAAATTACACTAATGAACATTATCCAGCAAAATTTCTAAATTAAAATAGTTTGCATAATGCAATTATGCATGGATTACATTTATAAATTACAAAAATTTGTTTAAATAGTGCAATCATCATTTGTATTTGGCAGCCAATAGTTTTATAATAAAGTTAATTGTTTTTTTTAAGTTGACTACAATTGCATGACTCAAGCTATTTTAACTTAGAAATTCTTCAAATTCAATTCTCTACAAACAAAAGTATCATATTCTTCCTATCTAACACCGTTCTTGCTACGTAAACGGTGAAAGGGAAAAAACGCATGTTGCAAATCTTTTTCTCCTTGGAAAACAATGACAATGTATCTCCCAAATCATCAATGACTCTCCTTCTTTGATCCTCAACCCTCCTGAAGCCGAAACTTCATGTGCTAATGTCATCCTGTCCTCCAAGTTACTAATAACACACTCAGTTTTCCCCAATGAGTTTCACATATGATCCGATTAATTTTTTATAAAATGATAATCAAAAGAATTAAAGCAAAGCCGAGAGGTAAGCACGAGTTTGTATCTCGTGGACTATTTCGATTATTTGAATGAGGAGCAGTCTGAAAAGTAGTGCTCAGGACTCTGACACTGATCACAAGGATAAGCAGCTTTCGTCTTAGTGTGTAGAAATACTTGAGGTATGTGTTGCATTTCTTAAGTTTCTTAATTTCTCAGGTTTCTCCGAGTTTGGAGTTTAATCGCTTGAGTAGTCTAAAAATTAGAGGGTTGTTCAACACGAGAGAAAATGAGTCGTGCTTTTTTGTAAGACCACTCTGATTTTAGAGAGCACAGAAGAGGCTTATTAGTACTACGCTAAACAGAGATTTTTGGAGTTATGAATAATCACAATAACTTTCACGAAAACTGGGATAACTTGATCACTTCAATGATTACTGAGTGCAACTTAAACTGCACAGTGTACTTTTCATGAACGAGAACATGATTTAATTTACTAATACGCTCTCTGGTGATACTAAATCAATCACAAATTCGATTGACACACATAATAGTAACCCAGAAAATAATCAACTATTTGGTAGTACAAAGTCACTCAGCTTCGAGAATTCTCGAACATACTGAAGAGAATTCGTAACATACTGAAAAGTGTGTGCGAGCATGGTTCAAGACCCCGGAAGATGATCAAGCGAAGGATCTCTCAAGTACTATAATAAATCCAAGTGTCACTGGGCACAATAATGCATAAACATGTCCACAACGTTGTTTGCATTAAAACTGAAGTTGTCTGGAAGTATCTAAGCATTAACTGAAGTAAATAAAATAAAACTAAAATTGAACTTAACATGAATTGTCTAAAGATCACAAAAATATACCGTTTAACCGACAGTTCCAGGTCGTAAAAAAAGGATATGTACGCTTATGAATGAATAAAATAGTTTAATTAGCGTAGATGAGTTAGCAGAAGAGACATTGATTTATCTAATTATTTGATGGGGAGAAAAATGTCAGGCCGTCGATAGAATACCCCTAACCGAGTCAGAACACAATAGAACTTAAGAGTGAATGGAATTTAGTTATGTTAGTATGTTAAGTAATTTTTCATTTATAACGTATTAAATATTGAACAATTGGATTTTCAGAAGACAAAATTCAATGGTCTAGCAAATAATTAAATATAAATCCACACGTGGTAAAACAAAATTTTTGTTCGTTAATTTCAATAAAATTTAGTTGTACCTTGCTGATGGTCGTGGAACATAAACATGGATGCGACGTAGAATAGAATCAGCTCTAGCCCGTATTTCTCTCGCTTCATCATCAAATATCTGCAGATAAAAAAGCATGTAGTTAATGAAATTTTTTTTTAGTTTTGATAAAAAATAGATTATTTTTCAAACTATCATACACGGCAATACACATTTATTTTACTTTAAGTTTCCAATCATTTGCCTTTACAGTAAACTGACAGAATTTTAAACGTAACTCTACATAGCATTACCTCAATCACTTATTAACGTGACGAGATAATTTTTAATATGAAACTAATTATGAGCATTAGCTTTCATTTAAATTAAAAGCAAGATTTATCCATTGAGTAGTCATCAAAATACAGATTAGGCCACGCCTCTAAATTCATTTCTCATGTATTTTAATTCAGTTTCTAGTCATTTCTTTATCAGTCTCATCTGAATGTCATCTCAAGCGGACCTTTCTCTCGTGGTCACAATCATTCTAAGAAGTATACGAGTATACTTCCAATGTATTAATTAAATGAATGAATGGCTTATTGTCCGTTTTAAGTTAATATTCAATAAAAATACCTCTATTAAATAAATTCGAATACTTTACATGAATCACGTTTTATTTATTTATTTAAACATTTACATAGGTCCAACGGCAGAACCAGACTAGGGCCACAGATAGGTTTTCAACTGTCGATAATACATTTAATTGTCATAATTGAATAAAGTGTTTTCAAATTCACGTTATGTAGTTAGTAACCTTTTTTCTTCACTGTAAGAAAAAATTTCCCGTTAGATGAACTCGAATGTTCTATGGATCTCGTTTTTGGATATAGTTCTGTTTTTGGGACGCAATCAAAAATAAATTAATTGTGCTTAGATACACTAATATTGTGAATAAATTTATTTAGGCTGTATAAAGAACGGCAGAAAGCAAGGAAGGAGACACGTTTGCAGATACAGGCACGATTTGAAGCAAATTATATTGAGTAATGAAATAGTTTAACTGGTAGAGCGAAATCATCCTGGGCAAGTTGTGGAGTATTTCATATGCGTTTAATCAGTGAAAAATGGAGATACCCCCCGGAAAAATCTTTACCTCCGTTTTCAATTGTTTATGAAAAATTTAATTGTAATAAACAGAAGAAAACAAATATCTTGCATACGATCACACTTTTCGTAACGCTTTTGTTATGCTTTTGTCGGCTTACTCCCTATGTCAAGCGTGCGTAAAGAAGTCTTACTTCAAAAATATGCGATGAAAGAAATTTCAGTTCCATTGTAAAACTTAATATACGATGGTTTGTTACAAAAACTATTTTATAAAAAAGAGAGTTTGTTTCAAGTCATGGAACATTGTTTGTAGCTATTTTCAGTAGAAGAGACAATATCCAGATTGATGAACTCGGATTTATTGCAGATATTTCGATTGTTTATGACAAATATACTTAGTATGACAAGTATACTTCTTATATACAGTAAGAGTCTGTTTCTATATATGCCACGTCGTAAGTAACTTTCTTTCAGTGAAGAAAAGAACATCATAGTAATAGGACTCGCATACATCGCATCGATTCTGTTTTAATTGTCCAGAACAGATCAATCAAGAATAACTGCTCGTTACTCACGCCATGTCACCCAACTTTCGCCCTCTTCCTCTTTTTGTCACTCTCTCTCACTCTGTCTATTATGTCACGTGATTAGCAGATATTCTAATGCACAAAACTTCATATTTCTCTCTTCCCCGCAATCTCATTTTCTCAATGAACCGAAGATTATATACAAATTATAATAAATGTTTATATTTTATCTAATTTTTAATATTTATAAAACTGCTGAAATTCATTGAATCATCATTAATTACGTATGCTAAATAGATTCAAGTTCGTAGATAATTTTTTTCATAGAATGCATGTGATGAAGCTGCACAATTTATTGTAACGTCAGGCAGGTGGTATGAGAATTTATTATAGTTTATTATAAGAGGTGACGATGTAAAATTATCGGTATGATAAATTTTATTGTAAATGTACATTTGCCTACATTCATGTTTATTTCCAATGAGCAATAACTTCTCAGAAGAATGAAATTTCTGAGTTTCGTTTGTTCCTTCGAAGCGTTTGGACGTGTTTATTTGGGCTCTCGGGCCCCTGTTTACCTTAGTTCGAGCATTCTCTAAGATATACGATTGGTGTAATATAATATTAACGTGCCAATTTTTTGGAGCTTACTGCTCCAACTAGTACTCTGCTACTCTCTTTCTTCTTTTTTGTGTATCTTAAGAAAAGGCTTTTGTCTACAGAGGATCCTACTTTGTTACTCTCTCACCATCTCAACTCCAACGTCAAAAACTTACTCCGATGCCGCTTCAACTGATCATTTTCCAACCAAAAGTCAAGCGATAATCTGCGACGACGTGGAAGGATTATTAAAGAGTATGCCAAAGCCATATCTAACCTTGTCTCGCCTTCGTCCATCAAGTTCATCTTTAGAATCTCCAACAATAGAATCTGTGTTTACCTATCGTCTTCTCAAATCGCTAATCAGCTCACCACGACTCACAAGCAACTCGTCATCTCCAACAATGTGATTAAAATGAGGCCTCTCATCTCTTCTCATAAGAGAATAATCATCTCAAACGTGCCTCTCATCGTTTCACACAGTTTTTTGGAAAACCTTTTTCAAAAAAATCACATACACCTAACGTCGTCAATTTCGTTCATTAGAGCTGGACTGAACGATGCAGGATTTACACATATACTTAGCTTCCGCTAATAAATTACGACAACACAAATTATTGGATTTATTTCTCTCTAGATGAGGCGCTGGAACCTATTAAAAACATTATAGATACCAATCAGTACAAGTACGAATTCACTTTCGACCAGTTCAAATCATATATCGAGCAAATTCAGGAAAAAAGCTGCATATATCCTATGTTCAACCACGAACTGATACACTTTAGCTGTTAACTTGAGAGAGCTATATCACTCACTGACAGCAAGGAGCATAAAGTATAGGTTCTTCAAGATTATCAACAGCCTCGACCCAGACAGAGCCACTACAGACGCCATCAGCATAACATCGAGTCTCTCTAGTTCCAGTAATGACAATTTAAGGTAGTTTGGCATTGGCAGCACTCACAGTTGACTACCCCTTTTTTAAATTTTTTCTGAAAGATCATACCTCCATGAGTTGAGAGAGAAAAAAAGATATTTTTCTACTTCTTCTACTTTCTACTTGTTGTTTAGGAGATATAATTATTTAAAGTTATGCAAAAATACATGGGCCCTTATGACTGTCCTTATTCAATTTCACCGGAAATTGATGGTTTATAAAAAATTGGCACAGTTGACCCACAGTAAAAAACATCTTAACATAAAGAATAGTACTTGAAATAGTTGAATAGTTTTTTATTTTTGCTGTTGATTAGTTTTTTTATAATATCTTTTAGTTCCACAACATTGCTTATTAATCGAACCCAATCTACTTTGAATAATGTCAATAATTCTTGTAATATTTGGCAATCAACCAATGCATCATGAGCGTTCTTAATAACATTGCTCCATGCTTCGTCAACTAAATATATTTTTGCAAGCTCATCAAGCTTTTGTATCTTTCCTTGACTTATTAAAGGAGTGGAATCGATGAAACCATATACAAGCTGCTGAAAATCTGAGAACATATTTATATTTGATAGCCATCGAATGATTCTTGGTGCATCAAGTCTTATGACGTTGTGTCTAACTAAAAAAGCTCTTGGACCACAAGCTTCTAAGAACTTTAAGAATTCTTTGGCAACTGTAACTAGAGGAGTAGTTGTAACCACCACATTATTTTGACATCGATTTCCTTCAATTATTGTGAAACCATGAACTTCACTTGCTTTGTCATCAATATGCTCAAGAGGAAAAATATATTTAACAAAGTGATGATTATTACATATTGCTGCTATCTGAAGTATATCAGCTGATGCATAAAAACTTGTTGTTTCTAAATCTACCGTTACCATTGGACTTTCTGCTGTATAATTATCACCATCATCTACTTCTTCATGGATGTTAAAATTGCCTGACTGATAAGATATTCTTTCTTTTTTCTCTTGACAATAAGTTTTACGTTGTTTTTTCAATTTATTTTGACAACGTTTACGTTTGTAACTTACAGAATTCTGTATTAATGATTTATTCTCACGAAGTGTGTTTCTTCTTGATAAATATTTTTTCATGTTATCGCCTGCTTCTAAACCAACTGCAGAAAAAACTTCATTCATATAAGAAGCACCTAGATTTTTTAAACAAACAGCTGCTAAAGTTCGATATTCACATGAATTTGTCTCTGCATAGTGTCAACTTTTCGGATATTTCATTGCAACCATGTGATTGAATGCTTCATTGGGTTGTGGTGAACCACCGTGAGCAATACGAGTTATTCGTTTGCTGAAATTTTCAAGACACTTCTTCAGAGCTTGTTTTAGATTATTATTTTGTAGTGGTTCCCCGTTTGGTAAATTTTTATATACATACTGAGGATTATCTCCGATTTTACACCAATCTCCACAGTTCTTGTGCTCACTATAAACATGATTGACGATATTTAATAAATCTTTTTGAGTATCTCCAGAGTTATGCCGGTTTTGATCCAATGCATAGTTGAAACATTTCTTCAAATAAGGTATAACAGGACCATTTAGTTCTTTGTAAGTTGAATTGAGTTTATATACATCAGACCCAAACTTCTTTCGAACATGGTTTGCATCGGATAATGTCAGTATGTTATGAGATGCCTGTCTTTGTACTGCTGAATAAGTACAAGCATCATCGTTACCACTGAATGTTCCAACTTAAACCCTGGCTTCCTTAAATAAATCATTTTTTAGCATTAACCGTACACCCATAGCAGCTTCCATAGCTTTTGAACTGCCAGACCAATTACCACAGCATTCATGATCAGATTGATCATGTCCTCGTGCACTCATACCACAACCAGTGGTACATGCATCTGCAGCAAAAATCTTCGTGGATGAGGAGGTGGAACATCCATGCATTCAAAAAACCTTATCAACGAGTCATGACCAAATCCTG